AGCTCATGACTGTGTTTTGTTGCATCCTTTGGGGGAGGCCTATGTTCAGCAGTGGACTTGTGAAGAGTTGTAATGATGATGACGATGATAATCATTTCAGCCCATCACATTTCCACTGCTAAACATAAGCCTCCCCCAAAGATGACACAAAGCACGTTCCTGAGCCATCAACATCTATCCATCGACTTCCTGCTCTTTGATAATATATGCCAGGAACAATTTACAATGGGTCAGCCGATCCAATAGCAGAAGGCCATGTGGGGAGTTAATCAAATATTTTCCTTGAGCTTAATATAATATAGAAGAATATCAACAAACGACCTACATTTAACATCTCTTACCAAGTCATCGCTCCATCTAGTGGGCGAGCTGTGCTGCACTTCGCTTACCGGTACGAGGCTGTCACTCGAGATCCTTTCTTTCCCAACGGTTGTCGGTTCATCGAGCAATATGGCCGGCCAATTTCTCACCATTGTACCCATTGATCACCTTGTGATCCATTGGAATATGTCAATTACACTTGTCTCAATACGAATCTCTTCATTATGAAAATCTTCATGCAGGTAAACTTTTATATTATACGAAATAATAATAATATCACGAGAAACAACTCGAAGCCATGTTACATTTCAGATAACAAGCGGGAAAAATCGACGCATTTATCCTGATATGAAATTATTCAGTAACGTCTTATTGCGTCTTTGATACTGAATTATTCATTTATGGCGGAAGCTTTATTATCCTTGTTTTGTTTTCGGAAAAACAACCGTATTAATATTGTTGATGACTATATCCTTCTGAACGAAATCGGCCACAAGAAATAAAGAAAAATCATTTATTTGCACACAGTACAGATGGTACCAGATTAAAATAATGATTCAAACTATATTCTTCCTGTATTAGGAATGCAATTATTTATATAAATAACATTAATAAATAACAAATAGCTCTAAAACATTTCTTTTGTGCAATTAATGTAATCAACCTTACGCTGTTTTTACGTGGCAGAGCCACGTTGCGGTTACATAATAGTTTCTTATATTTACGCGAACACTACACATTTGCATGAAACTACATTTTACGGATTTTATGGCGTATATTAAGTTATTTTATATTCTCGACGTTATATTACTTTACACCACCCATGGGGAGACGAATAGGTCGGCTCGACCGGGTAATGACAACGTTCTCACTGAATACTAGCTAGAAGTTAGTGAATACCTCAGTTTTCATGAGTGACAACGCATCCGCATTGTTGTTAGTTTAGTAACAAAATATTATTTAATCGTCTTCGTCACCATTATTAAGGGGCTTGCAAGGGTATTTTTATTATTTTGAGTTGTTATGTGTTGTGAGATGGACAGCAGATACTTAATTTCCCTCTGTCGTCTCTTACGACACTTACGTGACAATATGGGATAGTGGATTCCCTCACACCACCACTACAGCCATCTGATCATAATGTAAAGTGTACGAGTGTATGCACAACCACAAGTTCACTCTCTATTCCCGCACTTTCATAGTCCGATGGGATGGTAACCGGACACGAGTGGAGAGAGATCAGGTACAGAACCAACGGCTTTACTTGCTTTTCAAGTGTTTCGAGGGTTGAAATACCGCGAATTCTCTCACTTCAGGCTGCTACTGAGACGACGTATATAATTAAAAGCGAGCCGTAATAGAACTACAAGCGAATCTTGACTGACTTGTTAATGGTGTGAAACAAATCAAATGATGTTTAATCCGGGAAAATGTAGTTTAAATAGTTGTAAAATTCACGAGCAAAAATATCCAATATTATGATCTTATATATCTTCTAATAGGGACAGAAGTGGACTGTATGAATTTACTATGCAAGTGGACTGTATTGACTAACTGACTGACTGATGTTGAGGTATACTACACTAGGGACTGCTTAAAGAAAAGATGGTACTGTAGACTTTAATGTAGTAAACTATTTAAAAATGCGGCTTTCATTGATTAACTATACACACAGAGGGGAGTCTTCAATGGAGTATTAATTCTTCTCTCTTGATTTCTCTTGAGGTTTCTTCTCTTGCTGTTGTCTTCAAGTGCCGCTTCCGAAATGAACAGCTCACAGACCAAAACGCCCTTCTTATATCTTGAAAGAGAGTGTCTTGGTATGTGAGTAGCATCGTGAGGTGATGCCGCGCGCTGATTGGTCGGCGACATCGCGTGATCTGCTGGCGGTGTGCGGGGTGCGTTGGGCGCAACGGGGTATGAATGGGCGACGGGGCGGCGGCTGCCCCCGCCGTCCATAAATAACATCTTCATTAAAAAAAAAACATGGAAACCGATTCTATTCGAGACCTGGTGTAATATTTGATAGCAAATTAAGATTCAATCTTAAGATTTCGAAAAATGTAGTTTTATAAAAATTTATAAAAAAAATCCCATATTGAGTTCTTACAATATCTTGAGTAAACCGTTTGCACACGCCCCTAGCTGCCCCAACCAAGCCTGACGGGATTAGGGCCCATGAGTAATCCCATCGACGAGCAGCAGAGGGACGGGGCGAGAATATGGCCACGTGAAAATTCCTAATTACAATAAACCAGATGGGAGGACGCTAGAAAGACATAGTACTTACCATTATCCGAAGCTAACTTCGCACCAAGGCTTGGGCAGGCCGTGAATGTGTGTAATAGTGGATGGAGAGTAGTGTACAGTGAGGGGTGAATGTGTGGGGCCTTGTCAAGCATGGGCGACCAGCCGCTGCCGAGTACCAGGCTGCTCCAAAATGCTGCACCGCTTCAGACTGCTTCGGCGCCGGACCACAATCACTTTCCTCTTTCGTCACGATGACAGTCAATTAACTCTATCGTGCGATTAACTAACTTACAGAAGCCACTAACTATCGCGGGGTATAAGGTTACCGCACAAAACGCACACGGAGCCTCTGGACCAAAGGTCGCTACCGTTTCGCGTTGCAACAGTTAGTTCTAGAATATCAGAGGCCGCACTAGCTAATATTGTCGAATGCACTTATACAGATTCTGAGTCGGACCCAATAAGTCCCGGGAAGCTCTCCAGCAGGATCCTAGAAATCCTGGAAAAATCCTAGACCGTATATTTACGCGCCGCACCTAATTATTCCGAGTTCCCTAACAGAATGACAGAGTGCGAATCGTGAGCACTGCCTAAGGACGACTGACTGCCCTTGGGCGTTTTTCGCACGACCGAAAGTCAAACCGGTATGAATGCACCGCGCCGAGCGCCCTCTCGCGTCGCGAAAGTGTTTGGCGCGAACACCGTTTTTAATTAATATATATTATTTTTAAATAAAACTCGTGTTACGGATTTTATGGCGTATATTAACTTATTTTATATTCCCGATCTTTTGAGTATTTTACAGCACCCATTGCCCCGGGTTTAATCTACATGAATTAATTATTGCTCAAAAATAAAATAATTTTATAATATTGAACATACGCTCTAGGACAATAATTGGCACAAAAAATCCTTGCAGAGATTCCACAATGTAACCGTGTAAATGTTAATCAAATTAAATAGGTTTTCCACACTCACACAGACACGCACACACGCACACGCAAATAAGCATATGCACACACACGCATAGGTACACTCGACTACACACATACAACTACGCACATGCACAAACTAAAAAAAAATTATACGTACCGAAGTAATGACGAAATCCAAACGTTCTTTTCAAAAGCAAGCTACAATGGATTTCATTTTTTATTTACCACTGGTTCGGAAAATACCTCTGTCCAGGGAAGAACCAGTAAACCAAGCAGAAGCCCAGCGGGACCTTTTTTTCAAACATATTTAACTTAACAATAATTTTGTTTATGCAATTTTTAAATGAATTTTCATAGAACCAGCATGGTGGCAATCACCTTATTCCCAAGGGTTATATTCATTCATATATACCTTGATATTATAATAGCCCTATTTGTACAGTTTTTCTTTAATAAAACTTTTGAACTTGTTTATTGACTAACTCTGAACATGTTCTGGGATTTTGTTGTAAAAGCGTATACATTGCCCCATAAATTAATTACTGATTCTGTGGAGTCTCGTAACTGGCATTAAAAGCTTATGTTGGTTCCTAGTATTTAAAGTATGAACATCCTTATCTTTATTAAAGCTATATATGTTTTTTATGTATATACATTACATTTTCATAAATATATTTAACCCGGCGAGCATGAGCCAGGGTATCACACACCCTGATAAAATTTCAAAGTAATGTATTTTTTAAGATCCTCGCCCGGCAACTCTAACTCGCTCAGTAGCTGGAGTGCGGGGCACGCGGGGTGGGTTAGTGGCGTGATCGCAGTGTGGCGTGGGACACCGGCCGGTATATTCGTGCGCAAACCTGTCTCGGGTATGTTATACCCTGCCTCATTTCTGACGTATTTTTTTTACGTAATGATTTGGTCATGAATTATAACTGTTTTATTAGTCTTTTTTTCTATTATTTTAAGTTATTTTTGTTATGATTTTAGTATATACATTTGTTGTTCATTAATTTATTTGAGATTTTCTTTATTATTTTTAGTTTTTGACTGAAATGGATTTTGAAAGGCAAGAGGAACGGATTCGTACCATGTTGGAGGAGGCAACAACTGATTCATCAGGTGAATCCAGTTCAGAACAAGAGACTGATCATTGTAGTGAGCACGAATTGAATTCTGAGACGGAACAAGAAGGTGACGATTCAGTTGATGTTTCATCCAACTCCAGGCAGGAAGAAGTTGCAGTAAATGAATCGTGTAACGACCCAGAGGACGATTTACCATTGTCACTACTCAGGCAGAGAGACTCAGCTTCAAGGCAAGTAAATGGCCCTTTCTATACGTCTAAAGATGGTACCAAGTGGTATAAAAATTGTCAACGTCCAAACGTAAAAAACGTCTGAAAACATCGTAACTGAACATGCTCGAGTAAAGAATACTGCAAGGGATGCTGGTACAGAGTATGAATGCTGGAATATTTTTGTGACTACAAACATGCTTCAAGAAATCTTGATTCACACTAATTCGAAAATTCGGCAAAGACAGCGTGATAATGCGAATGCTGCAGATAATGCGAATTGCAAAGCTCCTTCTTACATGCAAGAAACCACTATTTGTGAGTTGAAAGCATTTATTGGCTTACTGTACTTAGCTGGCGTCACCAAATCTAATCGACAATGTTTGAAAGATCTTTGGCGAACTGATGGAACTGGTGTTGATATATTTCGTACCACCATGTCACTGCAGAGATTCCAGTTTCTTCAAAATGCTGTACGTTTTGACGACAAATCGACGAGAGAGGAGCGTAAACAAACTGATAATATGGCAGCCTTTAGAAGCATTTTTGACCAGTTTGTTCAATGCTGCCAGAATGCGTACTCTCCAAGTGAGTTTCTGACTATTGACGAGATGTTACTGGCATTTAGAGGTCGATGCTTGTTCCGCGTCTACATTCCAAACAAGCCAGCTAAATACGGGCTAAAAATTTTAGCTCTGGTCGATGCAAAAAACTTCTATGTTTTGAATTTGGAAGTTTACTCAGGCAAACAACCGCCGGGACCATATGCAGTCAGTAATAAACCGTTTGAAGTAGTGGAGAGACTCATTCAACCAGTTTCACGATCACACCGCAACTTAACATTTGATAACTGGTTCACTGGATATGAGCTAATGCTGCATCTACTAAACGAGCATCGACTTACGTCGGTTGGAACTGTACGGAAGAATAAGAGACAGATTCCTGAATCTTTTATTAGAACTGACAGACAACCAAACAGTTCACTGTTTGGGTTTCAAAAAGATATTACACTTGTTTCCTATGCGCCAAAGAAGAACAAGGTGGTTATTGTTATGTCCACTATGCACCATGACAATTCAATAGATGTATCTACAGGCGAGAAACAAAAGCCTGAAATGATAACATTTTATAACTCGACCAAAGCTGGCGTTGACGTGGTTGATGAATTAAGTTCCAGTTATAATGTTAGTCGCAACAGTAAACGGTGGCCTATGACTTTATTCTATGGTGTATTGAACATGGCAGCTATCAATGCTTGCATTATATACCGAGCAAACAAAAACGTCACAATCAAGAGAACGGAATTCATTCGTAATTTGGGCTTATCAATGATTTACGAACACCTACATTCAAGAAAATCAAAAAAGCATATTCCAAACTACATCCGCCAGCGAATCTTAAAACAGCTCGGTGAGCCCTCACCTAGACATGTGAATATACCCGGACGATATGTCAGATGTCAGGATTGTCCATACAAGAAGGATAGAAAAACCAAATATTCCTGCAATGCTTGTGCCAAGCCCATATGTATGGAGCACGCAAAATTTATTTGCGAAAATTGTGCTGATCTCGACAGTAGTGGTTAATCATATTTTTAATTAAAAAAAATTAATAATAAGTTTTTCACAAGGAGGATCTCACTATGTTTTAATTTTAAGTTGTTTTACACTCCAAAGAATAATATTTTTATTAAATTCTAAATTTTTGTAAGTCCTTAAACTTTTGTTTCTATAATTACAAAGTTTATGAAAAACATTAATAAATAATAATAATTTCATAATTAAAAACTTGTTTCATTTAATTCTATTAAATCATTCATTGTTTTACATAATAAAATCATTAAAAGTAAAAATAATAATAATAAGAACTTAAATATGGTACATTAAATTATGGGTATGTCCCACCCTGCCACATTCTTGATGTAACTTTTTTTAACCTCATGCTCGCCGGGTTAACGGTGGTAGAGCCACGCAGCAGCTTTTGCTGTTACACGTATGAACCGGCTCGAGCCGGGTTAGTACCACGACCTTACAGAACACCGTCGTAAAGTGGAAGCTCTGCTTCCGCGTTTCGTCTGGTGAGTGCAGGTGTCCGGAGGCCCAATCCGCCCCCCCCCATCAACATGGTAGCGGAATTACATCATAGACTACCCCAGGAGGGTACCAGCATCTCTGGAGATTCCCTCGCTGAGCATCCACGACCATGCTATTCTACTCCTGAGATTGGGTGCTCAGGCTGCCCCGCGTATTCTGAGGTGGGGGGGGGGGGGGCAAAATTCCGCACAACACAATAACTGCTCGGGGCAAACTGAGCAACAAGTCCAAGGCGACCGCTGCCACGCTATCCGTGAATTTCTGCAATATCAGAGGACTTCACTCGAACCTAAAAGAAGCCGGCCTTGCTCTTTCTCACCGCGACGCAGATGTCCTCTCTGGGTGATACTACGTACCTCTCCTACCCGGGGTACAAATTGGAGCACTCCTTCGTGCCTCGGGCTGGAGTTTGCGTATTGTCAGAGAGGACATCTGTTCTCGACGCCTCGGCAGTCTTGAAGGTTCGGACCTGTCCATCCTTTGGCTACGCGTAGACAGCGACGACCATCCGCGCGTCTACGCGTGCCTCTATAGGTCCCATAGCGGTAATGCCGAAACAGACCGACTCATCAACCACGTCCAAATGGCTACAGATTCCTTGCTACAACAGGTCCCATCCGCAGAGATCGTGATCCTTGGCGATTTTAACGCCCACCACGCCGAATGGCTCGGTTCACGTTTAACTGATCATGCGGGGAGATCTGTTTACGACTTTGCCTTGGCATATGGTTTGACACAACTGGTTACATCGCCTACGCGGATTCCAGATGTTGAGGATCATATACCTTTCCTGTTGGACCTTCTGCTGACCTCTCATCCGGATGGATATCAGGTTTCCGTAGATGCCTCTCTTGGCTCTTAGGACCATTGTCTGATCCGGAGAGTGGTGCCACTCACGCTCGCATCGCGGTTGCGTTCTGCAGGTTGTTTGTTGTGTTTGGCATTACAGGTGGCGGATAGGGACGGAATACGGTCTTTCTTTGCTTCCTACCCATGGGTTTACTTCTCGCCGGATGATCCCAGCGCTGTTGCTGACTCTATCACTGATGTGGTGCTACAGGGAATGGAACAATTTATTCCATCATCTGTGGTACTCATCGGAGGCAGATCTCAGCCTTTGTTTGGTCGCTCCTGTAATACTGCATTACGCAGTAAGCAGGAGTGTTATCAAGCCTGCGCTGCGGCTTCGGTGACTTGGGATGTAAACACCAGCACAATTAAAAAGAAATATAACTTCGCCTCCAGGTCCTTCAAAAGAGTTATTGCCAAGGCAAAGTCAGAGCACATAGGCAGAATTGGCGAGAAACTAGTTCGCCTTCCTTCGGGAACCCGTGCATTCTGGTTTCTCGCCAAGGCTGTCCAAGGGAATTTCTGTAAGCTATCACTACCATCTCTGCACAGGGAGGACGACTCACTGGCCCACACCGCAAAAGAGAAAGCCGACTTTTTAGGCTCCCTTTTTGCGTCCAACTCTACTCTTGATGACGGGGGGAGCACATCGCCGACCATCCCGCGGTGTGCGTACTCCATGCTGGATGTGCGGTCCTAACAGCGCTCGCCCAAGCAGCACACAAGCGTTATGAACATCAATATACCAGCCCATATAGAACTTAGAGTTCTATTAGAAGCGTATAAGAGTGTCGAAAACAGATTGTATTAAAGTAAGAGTGGCTTATGAGTTATTATACAGCTCAAGCTGTATAAAGTCTGTATTGTGGGATCTAAGTAAGCTTAGGGTTCTTAATCAGAATATGAAAACTCTACTATTCAGCTTTAAGTATTTTGTTACACTTCAATCTGATTTTATCATTAAAGCTGTATAGAAGCTGTTTTTTGCATGCTGTCACTTGCTTATACAGCTTTAAATGTTATAATAGTATCATTCAGATATTATTTCTGTACAATGGTGTATGTGAACTCCCTTCTAAAACTTATTCTTATGGCGTAATTGTACACTCTTGTAAATGCAGTAGTTTTATAATTTCTGTCTATGAGAGTGATATAAAACTAAAAAAAAAAAAAATAACAGCTATAGTACAGATTAAGTCTGTATAAGTGATAGAATATCGCCAGTTTGAATGCGTAATTGCGTGTTTAATATATTGTGCTATAGTGAACAAATTAATTTGTTATCAATATGTGTAAAAAAGGAAAAGATTTAGTGCAGTTAGAGGAAGGATTAAACGGGTATATTTAAATATTACAAATTATCAACGTAATAATAGTGATACTGAAGAATATAGAAACACTTTAATAAATCAGACAAGCTACAGTCAAGCGTCAATCCCATCGACGGCTAATAAAGAGGGTTCCGTAACAAAAACATTAAACAGTGTTAATCATGATTACAGTTATGTCAAATGTAACTTAGTTTTCGGCACCTGATTATGATGATTTATCATGCAGCAGCACAAGTAGTTCAAGTGATAATAATAGCGAATTTCCAAACAATCTATTTATTTTGCCAGCAAATTGAAGAATTGGGCCACAGAAAGAAATATATCTTAAGTAGCTTTAAATGATTTATATTAGCATCTAATCGCTTTTTTGGCCATCTTAAAACGCCTTTTGATTCCCACAAACTTGGTACATTGAAAATGCAATTTTTCCCTTTCTCTATGGTTTCCAAAATTTTAAACAGCATATTTTCCTAAAAAGTAAAATAAAACCAGTATAAGATACACAACACAGTCAAATTATACACAGTTAAGTTATTTGCATTTTGATTCGTAATCGAGGATAGATGCAGATGTCTATGGGCCACAGCAACCACTTACCATCAGGTGGACTGTGTGCTCGTTTGTCACCCTAATCCTATAAAAAAATAGTACAGCTACTAAGACTATAAGACCCTCGAAATATCCTTTAGGCTGTTTAGCAAATTGTCGCCATTTTAGGACCTATAAAAACCAAATTTAAATTGTAAATTTAGGAATATGACACATTAGTTTTAGCCTAAACCATTATTTTTAGTTTGTATAATGATTACCTTGCCCCAATATGCATTCATATTCACTGATTCAATTATTTTCTTATTCTAACCTATAAAATCAATATTTACTTACCATATTTAGTATTTTGTCCTTATATTATTTCGTTATTTTACTGGAGCGGCAATTTTTTGATAAAAATCATATACAAGTTTACCGTAAATCTAATTTTGCACTTTCTATTCACCAGTTATCACCGTCGAAATTCAACTCCAATCCAAGTAATATTAATATGTTATATAATCTTTAATTCACTCATCACACATCATTTAATAAAGTAAACCTATTAAGTTATTTTTGTCATAATTTCATTTGTGATACCGTTCAAACACCAATTTAGAAAGTTTATCTGTAAAAGATACTTATAAGATAGTATTTGTAGTCTAATAGTTTCCTTGTACACCAAATAACAGCTATAATACAGCTATTATACAGCCCATTTTGTGCTTGTACAGCTACTCTACAGCGCTACTAACGCATAAAGCTGTATAATTTGTGCCAATTTTTTACTTATAAGAGCTGTATAAGCGCTTATACAGCCTTTGTACAGCCAGTAAATGCAGCCTGTAGTATAAAAAGAAACTCCAATAAAGCTCGTATACAGCTTGCATGCTGCTTGGGCGGTTCGCAGAGTACTTCACAAGTCGAGTGGGCCTGACGGAATCCCCCAATTGTGCTTAGAACGTGTGCTCCGGAGTTGGCACCGGTTCTAACGCGTCTTTTCCGGTACTCCTACTACCTAGGCGTAGTCCCGAAATCATGGAGCTTTTGTCCACCCGATTCCTAAAAAAGGAGACCGCACAGACCCGTCCAATTACAGTCCTATCGCCATCACCCCCTTGTTCTCAAAATAATGGAATCCGTTATAAACTGCCACCTCATGTGGTATCTTGAGGATCACCAGCTGATTAGTGACCGGCAATACGGTTTTCGTCTATTAAATCTAGTCCAGTTTAATCCTCAGAAGACACAAGTTTGCGCGTTTACCGCTAAAAAGAACTCCTTTGTCGTATCTCTTCAGTTTCAAGGTACTCCCCTTGTTGCCTCAGCCAGTATCGGAATCCTCGGCGTCGACATATCGAGTGACGTGCAGTTTCGTGGTCACTTGGAAGAGAAGGCCGAATTGGCCTCTAAAAAGCTTGGCGTGCTCAGCAGAGCGGGACAGTATTTCATGCCGACACAACGCTTGCAACTTTACAAGGCGCAGGTTCGGCCTCACATGGAATACTGTTCCCATCTCTGGGCTGGGGCTCCCCAGTGCCAGCTCCTTCCACTTGACCGCATCCAGCGCAGAGCGGCTCGAATCGTCGACAACCGAGTCCTTTCCGATCGGCTCGACTCATTGGCGCTGCGAAGAGATGTTGCATCTCTTTGCATTTTCTTTCACATTTACCACGGGAGTGCTCTGAGGAATTGTTCGGATTAATCCCAGCCGCCAAATTTCATGAACACACATCGCAGCAGAACTCCCAATACCATCCACACCATCTGGATGATTGGCGG